GAACATCTGGCTGATTGTGCAACCAACCATAATAATAATAAAACCACAAAACATAATAATAATATAATAATAAACCAACCATAATAATAATAATAAAACCACAAAACAGACAAAGTAATAGAAAATGCAGAAGCTAAAGTGCTTCGGGACTTTAGAATTCAAATAGGCAAGCACCTGCCACACAACACCCCAGACTTAACAATTGTTGATAAGAAAGACAAAAAAGTTTGGATAGTGGACATTGCAAGACCTAGACATTGCAAGACAGCAGAACAGAAAAGAAAGAACTGGAGAAAATCACAAAATATAAAGACTTGCAAAGAGAAGTAAAATGACTATGGCAAAAAAAAGCAAAGATAGTACCAATAGATACAGGTACCTTAGGTGCAATCCCAAAACATCTGGAGCACCACTTGAAGACCATCAGCATTGACAAAATCACCATTAGTCAATTGCAAAAGGCAGCTTTACCTGGAACAGCTCATATCCTGCAATGATACCTTTAACACCATCAAACAACAACATCTGCCTATCCCAGGTCCTTTGGAAAGACTCGATAGGTGGATGAAAATGGCAAATCCAGTCTAAACATCTGGCTTAAAATTAAATGTTGATTTAATTTTACTCAGTTTCTTAAGATGGTGTTTTTAAAGATAATAGAGTTTAACAAAATGAATGATTTTTTAAAAAAAATTACATACCCCAGACTTGGAACTTGTTAATACATGATGAATTATGGATTTATTGAACATGGGGGCGAGGGGAATTAAAAAGGATTACTCTTCAGAATTGGAAAGAAAGTGCAATCCCAGATTTACAACCTTATACCTCTGATTATTTGTTCAATTTATGAACTGGTTCTCTATCAATGCAAATGAGAGATTTAAAACTATTCCATGTGGCCAAAGTTTAATTATCTGTTTTAAACTTTGGTTGAATGATTTCTTGTATGTAACAAAATATGCTTTTACTCTTTCTTTTTTTTCCTCCCGATTGATCTTGCAGTTTCCCCCTTTTTTATTTTTCTATCCAGGGGCAAATCTCTTTCACAGTGCAAAAGGATAGAGCCAGAGAGTGGGATGGGGGTGGGGTGGGGGTCTGTTGAGGGCTGCTTTGAGGATAACCTGTCAGGCACTGAAGGGTAGAGGAGAGAGACATGAAAAGAAACAGGATTAGAGATGGTAAGAAGAAAATGAGGCGTAACTCTTTTTCTGCAGTCCTTTCCATTCTTCTAATCTTGTAGTGGTGGATAGCTTCTGCCTTTTAGGATCAACCTAAAGAAATACGCCATAGACTAGCAGTTGGTAGAGCAGCCATGAAGGCCTTGGAAAAGATATTCAAATGCCATGGTGTGTCTATATCTACAAAGATCAGAACTGTGCAAGCCATGATATTCCCTGTGACACTCTATGGAAGCAAAAGTTGGACTTTGAAGAAG